GAGAGTCCAACCGTTTCCATCCCAGCAACAGAAACAGGAGTGGGTGGGGGTGGCTCTTCTGCCCCCACCTCCTTTGTGGGCCCGGTGGGGACCCCCCCCCGCCCCAGCCTCACTTGCCGAAGGCCCTGCCGAGCCTCTTCCAGATCAGCTGGGTTTTCACGGCATAGACCACGGGGTTGAGCATGGGAGGCAGCAGCTGGTAGAGATTGGCCAGGAGGATGAGCACCGACTGGGGGATGCCGTGGCCGAAGCGGTGGGCGAAGAAGGAGAAGAAGGCCGGGGTGTAGAACATCAGGATGACGCAGAGGTGGGAGCCGCAGGTCCCCAGGGCCTTCAGGCGGGCGTCCTTGGAGGGGAACCTGAAGACGGCCCTGAGGATCAGGAGGTAGGAAGCGGCGATGAGGAAAACGTCTAAGCCGGGAGACAGCAGGGTGGTCACGAAGCCGTACCAAATGTTGACGGCGATGTTGGCACAGGCCATGCGGGCGATGCCCATGTGCTCGCAGTAGGAGTGGGGCATCACCCTCCTCCCGCAGTACGGCAGCCTCTTGAGGAGGAAGATGGTGGGGAACATCACGCAGAAGCTCCTGGCCAGAGCCACCAGGCCGGTCTTGGCCACCACCGAGGGAGACAGGATGGAGGCGTACTGCAGCGGCCGGCAGATGGCGACGTAGCGGTCGAAGGCCATGGCCAGCAGGATGGTGGACTCCGCGATGAAGCTGATGTGGGTGAAGAACATCTGGGCAAGGCAGCCCTCAAAGGAGATCTCCCTGGAGTAGGACCAGAGGACGCTCAAAGTCTTGGGCACGGTGGAGGACGACAAGGCCACGTCGGCCACCGCCAGCATGGCCAGGAAGAGGTACATAGGCTGGTGGAGGCTCTGCTCCGTCCGGATGAGGAAGAGCAGGGAGAGGTTTCCCAGAAGCGCCAAGAGGTACATCAGGCAGAAGGCCACACCCATCCCGCTGTGGTATTTCTCCAGGCCAGGGATGCCCGCCAGGATGAAGGAGGCGGGGGGGAGGCTGCTCTGGTTGCTGGGCGGTTGGGCCTCCTGAAGCATGCCGACTCATCGCCCCCAGGCCGGGGTCCAATCCCCCGGTGGAGGACTCTGCCGAGACAGAAGGGGGAGACCTTACCGTTGGGAAGGGCGGTTGCACCCGCAGCAGGGGCCGTGGCTCTCATCCAGCGGGAAGCAGCCGCTGCCTTAGTGGGAACCGCGTGGCTGCTGGTATTTCTAAGATACGATGCTGCTGCAATGAGTGACGAGGCAATATTTGGAGAAGTGCTTCAAAGAAGAGACATTAACGAAACGCTCTGAAGGAAGAAACAGGAGAAGAAGCAACGGAGGGAAACTCACCGAGGAGAGAAGCAACTGGGAATTAAGGAGGAATTTCCTGACAGGGAGGACAATTAGCCAGTGGAACTGCTTGCCACTTGTCTCAAGCTGTAGGGTCTCCTGCCTGAGCAGGGGGTTGGACTAGAAGACCTCCAAGGACCCTTCCAGCTCTGTTCTGCTCTATTCTATTCTATTCTTATTCTTATTCTTATTCTATTCTCATTCTGTTCTAAGAATTTGGACCAGAAAGAAATCCAATATAGCTTATTGGATTATTTTCTTCCCCATGGAAACTGTTGTTTGTAAATATAACCCAATAGGAGAAATGGCCTGGGAGCTGACTTTGGGAAACCCTTCCTAGAACAGCCACAGGGAAAGCGGGGTCCACCTCTTCTCCAAAGCCCCTGAGGAGAGAAGCAACCTGGAACTAAAGGAGGAATGTCCGGACTGGGAGGACAATTAGCCAGTGGAACTGCTTGCCTCCAGAAGTTGTGGTTGCTCCATCCCTGGCGGCTTTTAAGAAGAGGCTGGACAATCATTTGTGTGGAATGGTATTGAGCCTCCTGCTTGAGCGGGGGGCTGGACTAGAAGACCTCCGAGGTCCCTTCCGACCCTGTGATTCTGAGAGTTCAGGAGGGAAACACAGCCAGCCTCTCAGCACAAGGCTTAACAGCACTTCCATTTGGGGGAGGGAAAGCAACCTTTTTTTTTTTTTTTTGCGCCATTATCAATGCAGTACAGTCTACTTTGACTAAATTATGCTGAAGTATAGTATAATAGCATATACTTTATTTTGCATAAGGATAACTATCATTTAATAAATAATTAAGATTATTCCATGACTGGACTTGGTGAGGCCATAAAAACACAGACATTTCCCCGCCTCAGAGATGCCTTATGGATTATTGCACTCAGTAAGGTTCTCCGATCTAGATTCCAGGTAGGAAAGGGCACCTCGAAGAAAAGGGATGCCCCAAATTCCAACCATGGTTGGTTGCCCCAATCCTTGCAGAATATGATTCTACTGGTATGTCCAATAAGCAAACATTTCCATTTTATCAGCTCCCTTGTGCATTTGGCAGTCACAAAGCAGCCTTCAGTTTACAGCAGGGGTCTGTCTCCACCGTTGGTTGGGGATCTCTGGGAGTCCACAAGTCTTAAAGTTGCCAAGGTTGGACACCCCTGGTTTGCAGAACCGGCCCTTGGCTGGTGCCCGAAGTTCCAACGTGGGCAATAGCCTGGCTAGCAGTGACTCACCAGCGGAGGGAGATGAGGCAGCTCTTGAACGGTGGCGGCTTCTTCTTCTTCTTCTTCGGGTGAGGAGAAAGGACTCGGCCATGCAAGGAAGAGGGCGAGTTATCCAGCTTTCAGGGGGACTCCAAGGACGGCCTTGTCTCATCTTCCCTCGGCAGAAATTGGCAAGGGAGGACGAGCTCCCTCGGTCCCGAGGGCTGGAGAAACGGAGCACACCTCTGTCCCCAGGAGGCCGTTTTCAGCTTCACGTGGCTGGTGGTTTTCCCCAAGGAAAGAAGAAGAGGTTGCTTGAAGGGTTCCAAGAGGGCAGCTGCTTCCTGGCAGAGGGGGGGGGATAACCCTCCCCACCGGCTGACTGGCTGCCCCTCCCTCCTCAAGAGTTCCTTGAGGACTAGCTCTGCTGGGGAGGGACTTGGTGAGTTTCACCTGGGTGTCCTCGGGGGCCACCAGGCGGCTTCCAAGCCACGTGTGGCTCATTGGGCAGGCAATCGTGGGAGGGGTCGGTCTTGGGCTCAGATCGCTCCCCAGGGACGCTGCCTGCTTGACTTGAACAAGCAGGAGGCCTCAGACCCGGAAGGCCCCGTTGTCTCCTACGACGGAGAATCCTGCGCCAAAGGCTGCTGGGCACCACCCTGGATCTGGGTGACTTGCTGATGGTTAAATGGCGGCTGCCTGTCGCACTAAAAGCAACTCTGGGCAATGCAAAGGTTGTGAGTGCGCAGCTGCCCTCCAGGGTGTCCGATGCAGCTGCATAAGTCTCGGCGGTTTTGCCCTGGTGCCACCTGTGTACTTGCGCAGAAGCCTCGCTGGGATCCAGCCCAGCCTCCATTTGGGGAAGGAAAGAGACGGAGACGGAGGGGTCAACCCCGACCTCCGTGGCCAGTCAGGGCCGACCAGTCAGGGTTCCACTTAAGTGACCGTGCTCCCCAACCCCCCCCCCCTTTGCAACCAATACAGGGGGGTGGGGGCGTTGCAGAGAATGGAGGATAGAGGCAGCCCTCCACTTACGACCAATTGAGCCCAACATTTGTTGCTAAGTGAGACACTGGTTCAGTTTTGCCCCATTTTTACAACTTTTCTTGCCCTGGCCGTTAAGTGAATCAGCAGAGTCTTTGCTGGCCAGAAGGTTGCAAAAGGGGATCCAGTTCATGTGGCCCTGGGGATACCGCAGTGGTCACTAAGGGTGAAAAATGGTCAGAAGTGGGTTTCCCTCCCCTGGGAGCTCGAGAGGGAAGACCCTGGCTGCCTTCTGGGCTACTCATATTGGGAGGGTTGGCAAGGACCACGGGGTGATTAGGGGCCCTGGTGGCCTAGTGGTCGGAGGGCAGCATTGCAGGATGATTCTGCATTCCCGCAGCCAGCGGTTCGATCCTGACCGGCTCCAGGTCAACTCAGCCTTCCGTCCTTCGGAGGTGGGTAAAACGGGGACCTGGATTGCTGGGGGCAGGAGGCCAGCCGTCAACCGCTGAGAGGGGCTGCAGAGCCCAAGCACTGGGGGGCTCCATGGCTTCCGGAGGAAAGCTGGCCTCCCTTCGCCCCGCAGAGGCTCCCCCAAAGGCTGGGCATCGGGCGCTTAGCCCCCTCCCCACCTGGCCAGAGGTCCCAGGCCAAGTATTTTCTCTAAGCTTCCCCCCCCCCCGGCCATACAACCACCCATCACCCTCGCTGGCCTTTCTTTCCCAGGGGGCTCAGAAAGGCAGCCCCCCACCTACAATGGCTCCTCCAGTGACTGGTCAGTTATAGCAGCTCTGGAAAAGGGGACTTATGGCCACCGCAGCCTCCCCAGATCAAAAATCCAGACACTCGGCACCTGACTCGCACTTACGACAGCCAGAGTCCCAGAATCACAAGTCAATTGGGGAAGGCAGAGTCCCTTTACCACGTGCCTCACCTAACAGCTGCAGCAATTCACTTAGCAAACGGTGGCAAGGTTGTAAAATGGGGGCAAAACTCACTTAACGACTGTCTCGTTTAGCCACAGACACTTTGGGCTCCATTGTGGCCGCAAGCCGAAGGGCCCGTCTGTGGCCGGCTTCCCAGAAACTAACCTTGTGCGGTTCTTGGGAGATAAATGAAAGCTAATGGGGGCTCCTTCCCAGCCACCGGTCTTGGCACCTGGATGGCTGGCAAGGGGCCTGGGGGGCTCCTCTCTTGCCCGGCCTTCTCCAAACCTCCCCCCCCCCCTCCAAGGACCACCGCCCCCCTTCCCCAAACGGCTGCCCCCCAGGAGGGGGGCCGCCTGAGGGGGCGGGGGGGGGGGGGGGGGGGTTCACCCCCTCCCTGTCAAGGGTCCCTGGGTCCAGAAGGCCCCCCCATATTATTCTGGGCAGGGGTGGGACCAGGTGAGGGGTGGGAGGGGCCCAAGAAGCCACACACAGACCTTCAATAAGACAACAAACTTTATTGTTAATTGCAAAACCAACCAGGAAACGGTCTCCTTGCACCCCACGGAAGACGATAAATAGAAAACCCCACAAGGGCTCGGAAAGGAAGCCCCCCCCCCCCCCAAAGGAAGCAGCCGGCATTCATCCTGGGGCTGTGTCTGCCTGTTGCTGCTGCCCCCAACCCCCTCGGGGGGCTGTGAAGGGCCCAGGCCACCTGCTCTTGCCCCTGCACACGGGGGCAGCCGAGAGAAGCAGGAAGGGCCAGAGGAGGGACGCTGGCACCTTGGGGCACAGCAGCAGCACTCTGGGCAGGGAAGGGAGGTTCCGGATGGGGGGGGCAACCCTTTGGGGGGGGGTCCTTGAGCCAAATCTCCCCTTCCCCAGGCCAGGACCAAAGCGACAGGCAGCTGCTGCTCGGAAGCCTCTTCACTTGTGTCCGTCCACTCGGCTGCAGAGGTGCGCAAGTTGGCTCTGGAAGGAGAGGAGCCGAGGGTCAGCGGGCCCAGCCCCTCCCGGCGGCTGCAAGTGGCCACCCCTGCCGTCCGGCTCCTCCCATCCTGCTCCAGGTGGGAAGGCAGGCAGGGTGGAGCCTCGGCCCACTCAGGAGGAGGAGGAGGAGGAGGAGGCACCCAGCAGCGGCCTCTCCCAGCACTCAAGGCCCAGCCTCTGCCCCACACCCAGTTTCTCTCCAGCCCCTCCGGGTGCTGCGAAATGGAGCCGGCCCCCAGCCCCCCCCCCCCCCAGCACTAAGAAGGGGGCTCCGCTGCTGCGTCTCCCTGGCGCTTCTGTCTCCGTCCGCCCTGGAGTGGCTCAGGGGAGAGGAGAGCAGGGAGGGGCCCCCGGGAAGGGCTCCTGGGGGACCCAGAGGCCGAGCCTCCCTTCCAGGGAGACCCCAGGCATCCGGGAAGGCCGTGGGGGGAGGCGCTGGGCCCCCGGGGACAAGGGAGAAAACCAGCCAGGCCTACCGACAGCTTCTTCACGCTGCCCAGGGCTTGGGCGTTCAGCCCCCGCAGGTCCCTCTCCGAGAGCTCGCTGGCCCTGATCCGGACGTTCTGCGCAGAGGACAAAGGGCCCTTACTCTGGAGGGGGAGCAGGCAGCCCTCCTAACCCCACCAGCTTCCCCTCCAGGCCATGCAGGGGCCGCAGGGCCTCCGTCCCGGGCCTAGGTGGCCCCCACGCCCCCCCCCTCCCCTGTGCCCCTCACCTCTCCTCCGCCCAGGGGCACCGTGAGGAAGACCTCGCTCCTGTCTGCCAGGGGGCTGCCGTTCACCGAGATGCTGAAGACCCTTTCGTGGGCAGCAGGGGCCCGCAGGCCGGGCGTCCTGAAAATGCTGGGGGGGGGGGGG